CCCGACAATATACCTCAATTAAGGAAATTCTGGAAATTGTGGTATAACGCATGGGAACGGAACCCTGCCTCGCCTGGGCTGCAGAAGATGCAGGCGGAGCGCGACGAAATCAATCACGCTGCTGTGTTGGAGGCGCCGGCGTGCATGCCGGTCGACCTGGCTAAGATTCGTCCCAAACTGTTCCTGGACGACATCCTGATGCCCCCCGCTTGGCACGGGTGCGTCTGTTCTTCAGAGCAGACGACGTTGCTTCCATCGACCAGGATCATCGCGACCTGGTCAAGGCGTACAAGGACGAGCCCGGCATCAAGGCAATCATCGATGCACACTCGCCTTGCCACTACCTATCCTGCCGACAAGGCGAGGGCCAAGTCGTACTGTATAACAATTGCCCAGCCTCAAGCGTGCGGGTACGAACAAGGGTTCGCAATTCTACTACTGTAGCTCACAAACAATTTGGTTGTGAGCTACAGTAGTAGACCAAATAGCCGCAGCCTGCAGCAATGTAGCAAATTGAATCGAACGATCCTATTGGCCATATATTTTCACTTTTCTATCATATACTTATTGGACAGAAGGTAGCCTGCCTTACGAATTCATCAAAAAGATGCGTTTAAAGGAATTTATATTACTCCATACAAAGATGAAGCTTCATTCAATATTTAGAACTACCGTCAGAAACATATTATTGGGGCATAGTCACTGAAGGTTTGACCAAATCAAGTCGTTTGCCCGCGACGTGCAGTTGTCCAGCCAGACATTAGGCATTGGGCAATAATTTCAACAAACAGTGTAAACATGAGTAACCTTCCATTTAAGCTATCTAATTGGTAGATAATGAAGAATTCGATGTGCACTACCTTAGCGTCGCCTCCAAGAGCTGTCATCGGGCCGAAATAGCTCGTGAGAGTTCACAAGCCTTTGTTGATGGTTCAAATGAACAAGTTTGATTCGATCCAGTAACATTTGAGTCTTGGTGCATAGACTGTGTCAGTCGCGGTGTTGTCGCCATCCTAAGATTGCGCGCGAACAATTTGGCATTCGAAAACATCCGGATAATGCTAGTAGTTATAGTCACCGGTCGTTGTACC